ACCCCAGAAACAGACCAGTGAGCAGGTCCTCTCTGTCGCTGACCGGCGAGCCACTCCCACGAAGTCCCTGGCGTAATCCTCAATGCACCGGTCTCCCTGCCGGACATCGAGGAACCTTCCTGCTGGACCCATGTTTGGCGGATAATTCTGTCACGGCGCGGTCAGGAATCACACCGTGTGAGCAAGGGTTTTGGGTCCAAGTGCAGGTTTATTTACTGCCAGGGAAAACAAAGGAAAAAAACAGAACATAAACAGAGCTGAGACTCTGAAACAGGCTAGAAACACGCAAATGGGCACTGATGCAATACGGCCAACCACTGGCTTGCATCAGTCCCGGAACAGACACTAGAAACACTCGTAACGCTCGTGACTACAAACAAACAGTAAACTCGTGACACAACTCAACCAAACATTAATTATCCGCCCCGAGTGGCGTGGGGAAGGCGCCTAAATAGCTAAACCTCTGGTGGTGAGAGGGAGAACACCAGACGCCAGCCCCTGACAATGCTAAGCCACTGTGTTTTTCGTTGTGAAAGCAAAACTACTTTGTTTGGTCTTCCAAAAGAGGACACGACTACAAATCAGTTGTATTTACAACACTGTTCCAGAACAGTTTAACCCAAATATCCAGATGTGTGCAGCACATTTTATGGAGGACTGTTTACTGATCCTGGTAGAGTAACGTTAGACTAAAATGCCGGCTGTTCTGACTCACAGTCTGTAAGTACATTTTCATTTAAAGGATTTGCCACTGATGTTTCAAACGGAGTTTTGAGCAGTGTAGAGTAGCACTTGTTGTTTGTCATTTCTCTGATCCCAAATGCAGACAGAGTTTTATGTTTACGCGGCACGATGCAATGCAACGCAACGTGTAAAAATACAGTATAAGTCATAATAATCAGTAATTATGGTTTTAATGTTTATGTCTCGTAGCTCCGGCCGGGGCACGGCATCAACAGTATGGTGAGGGGAGTAACATTTCCGTCACACGCTTGAGGTATTCAGCCAATCACAACGCACTGGATAGCTGGCCAATCAGAGCACACCTCGCTTTTTCAGACCGATGAGCTTTGTAAAAATCGAGCGTTTCAAAAAGGCAGGGCATAGAGGAGAAACAATAATGTACAGTATGTGGAAAATAATGTGTTTTTTTTACTTTAAACCGCATACATTTTTCACACATTTCAGTACACCAAATACACAAAATAATGTTCTTTTTAGCAACATCATATGACCCCTTTAAGGATATTCTGCCCAAGCCGTCAAACTGACGTCATCAGAAAAGGAATTCCATTCCAGAGCGGAAGCAAATGTTCAGATTTTGATTAAAGATTACGAAGACAAACAATTTTTTTCAACGGATTAACTTGCACGGATTAATTTTTCACATCATTACTAGCAATGTGCGCTAGTAAAGTAAATAAATTCAATTTTGATTTCATGCTGACTTTAAATAAAATCTTCAATCTGAAAAAATAAAGAATAAAATAATCAATTTATTCTGAATTGTGAAGTCATTGTTTTCAGTTGTTAACATCATTTCCTCTTTGATATGTTATGTTTCTAAAGATGGCTGTTTGAGGGGATTAGCAGACAGAAGGCAGAAGAGCTTTTGTTACTGCCTGGTAACGGTGTTGGATCATTCCTTATTAGAGATAGTCCGCAAGAGAGAGGTAATTACCTGGAACTGTCATTTACTGTTGCATACTAACCACAGAAAGGTTTCCATTGACATATTTCAGCAATATCAGTGTCAGTGCAAGTGTAAATGGCATTGCAGTCATAACTGCTGTTCCCTGCAGGTGTATATTCTCTCTCTGTGAGACACAGGACCATAAAGCACTATAAAATATTACGTCTGACTAATAGCTGGTACTACATCTCCCCACGGCTTACATTTCAGTGTCTGGAGGACATGGTCAGTCACTACTCTGGTGAGAACTAAAGACAAAACTCTCATATTCTGCTTGTAATGTGGAATGAGCATGTTATACATTCATGCTAATGTGTTTTGGTTTTCCCTCAGACTCATCAGACGGTATATGTTGTGTTCTCAGCACTCCGTGTCTGGTTCTGTCCAACCCCGCGCCGAGCACAACCCAGGAAGCACCACCTGTGGTAATGCGCCGTAACTTGGATTGGAAGAAAGTGAATAAGTACGTCTGTTTTTTTAGATCCTGCTAAGCATCTCCTTCACTTGCTGAGCTTGTGTTGAGCAGTAGTGTGAGCTGTAAATGACTGATATGTCTCCACATGAATAGGTCACAGCTGATGAGCCCAAGCGAGCTGGATAACGTGGACAGCAAAGATAACATGATGAGCTACGGTGTCAGGAGCAGCATAGCCGCCTATCTGTCTTTAACATCAGTACCTGAGCTAGAGAACGCCAAAGGCCGCAAGAAGAAGAGCAAGTCTGTCTATGTGATGCCTGACCACAGTAATATAAATGCAGATGAGGACTATTAGCTTATAAGCATAGACATTTAATCTACCAGCACATTGCTATGGATTGTAATATTTTTGCACTGGGTTAAGCGAATCTTTCACATACATGTCCAGGTCACTTTTCTATGGAAGCCGTTTCCACCATGGAATAAAAAAATGTTAAAACATAATTGCGACTTTTTAACTCAGACTCAGAATTGTGAGACATAAACATGTTTTTTTTTTCCCTCGCACTTTTTACATTTCACAATTCAGAGTTGTTTTTTTTTACTCAGAATTCTGAGTTTACATCTCACAATTAGAAATAAAAAGACAAGTATCATTAGGTTCTTGTATATATATTACGAACACCAGTGAAAACACTGATCAACCTTTGAGAAATTCATTCATATATAACTGAAAAACCTCTTACGAACACCAGTGAAAACACTGATCAACCTTTGAGAAATTCATTCATATATAACTGGAAAACCTCTTACAAACACCAGTGAAATGAAAAGATCAACTGTAGTGAATTTCATTCATATACATAACTGAAATAAGTAAAGATTTCAGTAGGCCTAGATAATGAAAGCTGATTTCACTTGAAACGGAAGCTGTGTCAACATTTCCGTTTAATTTGGCGCGTCTCACAAACTTTTCAGTGCCGGTTTGTCGTAAGTTGTCTGAAGCTATTATTAATATAAACAAAATTTTACCATCGTCAAGTACAATTCTGAAAGTGGGACAAAACAGCGCAATGTTACAGAGCTCGCGCCGTGGTGACCTGTAATCGGCGCGGCTCTGCGACTGACTCGTGTTCGCTAGCGCCACCGAACTGACAGTGCGGACATCAGCATCTCTTCATACTACTTCACAGAAATTCGTGATTTTCCCTGCACATAACATAACGCAAGTCAGTATTAATTTATTATTAAATTTCTTTTGCTTATTATCGTTCTACTACATAAACAGCAGAGTTGTATATTTTGAAGAAGTGCATGTAGCAGATACTTTAATAACAGGCTATTGTAGTCCTCTTGAGGAGCACGTCCAACATTGTTTTGTTTAAAAATACAATGTATAATATTCGACAGGCAAATTTCGGAACATTTTATTTCCCTTTTCAAATTCGCTTCCACAAATTCAGTGGTTAAAGTTCGACAGAACATTCGCCATTGCACATCCGGGAGTGAGGGACCAGACTCTGCCTACTGCATGCAGCAGCTGCATTCGTAGTCTGCTCATTAATAGAGCTGCTCTAATAGAGGGGTAGCGCATCCTGACAAGCTCAATACGGCCATTAGCATGCGCTATCCGCTTAAACAATGAGGTCAAATTCATGATTAAGGTGGGGAATTAATGACAACAGAAAGTCAGGAGGCCAGTTTAATGCCTCACCTGAACGCTGCTCCTTTTTACAGGTGCCGGTCTAACGCTTTATTAAAAGGTTGCTTCTTTTTACACCCTGAAGTCCGATTCCTTATGCTAAGTCTTTTGCACCCATACAAGTCAGGGAATGAGCACCCCCTGCTGGCCGGACTAAAACTAGCTCCAGCAGCTAGCTATTAAAAATTTTTTTTTACCGCAGCCTACCAGCCATCAGATTGTGCTACCAGCTTCAAAAAGAAAACAAAGCCGAATTCGTAATTTGAGGTGGGGAATTGATGACGACAGAATGTCAGGAGGCCAGTTTATTGCCTCATCTGAAGGATGCCTCTTTTCACAGTCTAAATTCTGTGTCATTATACTAGGACTTTTGCACCCATTCAAGCCAGTGAATGATCACCCCCTGCTGGCCAGACTAGAAGTTGGTGAGGCAGCAAACTACATTTTCACAAACGGTCTCCCACCAGTGCACTGACCAGGCTCTTGCCTGCTTAGCTTTAGTGACGGACCAGACTCTGCCTACTGCATGCAGTTCACACCTCAAATTACGAATTTGGCTTTGTTTTCTTTTTGAAGCTGGTAGCACGCACTGATGGCTGGTCAGTATGGATGTGAAAAAAAAAAACTAGCTTGCTGCTGGAGCTAGTTTTTGTCCGGCCAGCAGGGGGGGCTCATTCCCTGACTTGTATGGGTGCAAAAGTCCTAGTATAATGACGCGGACTTTAGACTGTGAAAAAGGAGCATCCTTCAGATGAGGCATTAAACTGGCCTCCTGACATTCTGTCGTCATCAATTCCCCACCTCAAATTACGAATTCAGCTTTGTTTTCTTATTGAAGCTGGTAGCACATTCTGATGGCTGGTAGGCCACTGTGAACCCCCCCCCCCCAAAAAAAACTAGCTAGCTGCTGGAGCTAGTTTTTGTCCGGCCAGCAGGGGGGGATCATTCACTGGCTTGAATGGGTGCAAAAGTCCTAGTATAATGACGCGGACTTTAGACTGTGAAAAAGGAGCATCCTTCAGATGAGGCAATAAACTGGCCTCCTGAAATTCTGTCGTCATCAATTCCCCACCTCAAATTACGAATTGTTTTATTTTTGAAGCTGGTAGCACATTCTCATGGCTGGCAAGCTGCTGTGGAAGAAAAAAAAACTAGCTTGCTGCTGGAGCTAGTTTTAGTCCGGCCAGCAGGGGGTACTCCTTCCCTGACTTGTATGGGTGCAAAAGTCTTAGCATAAGGAATCGGACTTCAGAGTTTAAAAAGAAGCAACCTTTTGATAACGTGTTAGACCGGCACCTGTAAAAAGGAGAGTCGTTAAGGTGAGGCATTAAACTGGCCTTGACTTTCTGTTGTCATTAATTCCCCACCTTAATCATGAATTTGACCTCATTGTTTAAGCGGATAGCGCATGCTAATGGCCGTATTGAGCTTGTCAGGATGCGCTACCCCTCTATTAGAGCAGCTCTATTAAGGAGCAGACTACGAATGCAGCTGCTGCATGCAGTAGGCAGAGTCTGGTCCCTCACTAAACCTAAGCAGGCCAGAGCCTGGTCAGTGCACTGGTGGGAGACCGTTTGTGAAAATGTAGCTTGCTGCTGCAGCTTCTTTTAGTCCGGCCAGCAGGGGGTGATCATTCACTGACTTGAATGGGTGCAAAAATCCTAGTATAATGACACAGAATTTAGACTGTGAAAAGAGGCATCCTTCAGATGAGACATTAAACTGGCCTCCTGAAATTCTGTCGTCATCAATTCCCCACCTCAAATTACGAATTCGGCTTTGTTTTCTTTTTGAAGCTGGTAGCACATTCTGATGGCTGGTAGGCTGCTGTGAAAAAAAAAAACTAGCTAGCTGCTGGAGCTAGTTTTTGTCCGGCCAGCAGGGGGTGATGCGGACTTTAGACTGTGAAAAGAAGCATCCTTCAGATGAGGCATTAAACTGGCATCTTGACATTTTGTCAATGACATTTGACATTTCGGCGCGAGCTTTGTAACATGGTCCCTCACTAAACCTAAGCAGGCCAGAGCCTGGTCAGTGCACTGGTGGGAGACCGTTTGTGAAAATGTAGCTTGCTGCTGCAGCTTCTTTTAGTCCGGCCAGCAGGGGGTGATCATTCACTGACTTGAATGGGTGCAAAAATCCTAGTATAATGACACAGAATTTAGACTGTGAAAAGAGGCATCCTTCAGATGAGACATTAAACTGGCCTCCTGAAATTCTGTCGTCATCAATTCCCCACCTCAAATTACGAATTCGGCTTTGTTTTCTTTTTGAAGCTGGTAGCACATTCTGATGGCTGGTAGGCTGCTGTGAAAAAAAAAAACTAGCTAGCTGCTGGAGCTAGTTTTTGTCCGGCCAGCAGGGGGTGACGCGGACTTTAGACTGTGAAAAGAAGCATCCTTCAGATGAGGCATTAAACTGGCATCTTGACATTTTGTCAATGATATTTGACATTTCGGCGCGAGCTTTGTAACATTGCGCTGTTTTGTCCCACTTTCAGAATTGTACTTGACGATGGTAAAATGTTGTTTATATTATAATAGCTTCAGACAACTTACGACGAACCATCATTGAAAAGTTTGTGAGACACATACCAAATTAAACGGAAGTGTTGACACAGCTTCTGTTTCAAGTGAAATTAGCTCTCATCATCTACTGAAATCTTTACTTATTTCAGTTATGTATATGAATGAAATTCACTACAGTTGATCAGTGTTTTCACTGGTGTTCATAAGAGGTTTTTCAGTTATAGATAAATGAATTTCACTAAGATTGATCAGTGTTTTCACTAGTGTTTGTAAGAGGTTT